TCCGCCAAACTTAAAACATAATAATAATATTAATATAACACTCGCCACTCGATTCACACACGCTGCGATACAATAAATATACAATATTATTATTATTATTATTATTATTATGGATAGATTACACGAGCACTGTCCCGGAAGAATATGCCTTGGAGCCGGTCGGTCGGATGGACCGCATTTTTCACGTATGATGCATCATAATCCACTGCAGACGGAAATATTATTTTTCAAATAATTTTACGCGTATTATAATATAGGACAGCGAACTGCGCACGACCCAGTCAGAACGACACGTCATATGTGACATATAATAATAATATTATAATATGTCTGCAGCGCCTAAAACAAGTTTTGGCGACCAGTCGCTTATAATATATTATTATATTTTATTGTTGTACTCCGTCGAAACGGAACAAAATATACTCTTACACCTGGCAATATTATATTTTATACGATCCACAGTGGCGCTGGTGAAGATGACTCCTACTGTTATTATAGGCTAGCGGTGCCGATGAGCACTCTCTCTCTCTCCCTCCCTCGAGCGTATGAAATTCAGCGTTTTCTCGAAGCATTATTTTTATAGTCACAGGCTTACCGCGTGATTCACAAAGATATTAATGGGTGGATCTCCCGTGGTTTAAAAAGGTAGTCTAAACAATTTTTAAAGGTCATTTGACCACTAACAACAACGACTACTATTTGGAGAACAGTGATAAAATATGTTTAGGGTGGGCGGTGTAAAAAGGTTAAATGTGAGTTCAGGAATACAAAGATCAGTCTCTGCTGATTATAGTCGTAGGTACGTATATTATTATACGTAATTTGCGAAATAATAACACTTATAAATTATAATATGGTTGTACGGCGCTGATCCCGAATGGTATATTCTTATAATTTATTGTATACAATACACATAGTATTAATACTATTCAGTCCATCAAACGTGATCATTGCTATTTTGTCTTTAATATAACGAATGAATTAAAATTCGGTTTATAGGAGTAATTCGTAGGTACCGATAGTCAATGTCTAAAGAACAGATTTTCAAGTATATATTTCTATATAGAGTTTTATGCAACTAGGAAATGTCATTTGGATCGATACAAATTTCCTTTTTTCTAACGAGAACCATATCTAAACGTTTTTGCTGCGGAAATTGTTAAACAGTTTAAGGTATTTATGCAAAATTTGATAGTCTAAATTGAAATTTGAACATGTGGTTTCGACGAGTTGTTAAAATGTATTATAATATGTACTGAGGATAATGTCGATTTTCCAATCATACCATAGCCGATAGCTCACATATATAATATTTAAACTGCTTTTATCATGGAATATTATCCTCTATTAGAATATATGTATGCAATTTAATAGTTCATAAACTACTCATTTCAATTGCTTAAACGGCGTAAGAAGTGTAAGTCGTATTTGAATATATTATGGTACTATAGGTAGATAAAATTATTAGAAATACCAAAAATCAGAATTTGAATAAATTCATTACGTCCTATTAAAGAAAAATGGGAGCGAGCGTGACTGCAGGTGAACACCTAGCGAAGTATATTTTTTTTTCTCTGTAAAAACCTGTCTGAGAGGATATTATAATAATAATATACCGTCTAAAAACGGCTTAAGCGATCTTTTCGATTGTCTAATGGCTGCGTGTTGTATTATTATTTTATTACGCGCGTAAGGTGCAGGTCAATAAAAACATACCTGTATATACAGGGTGTAACGGAAGGTCCTGAAAAATAAAAATATAAAATTGATACTGGTTAAACGTCTGAGAAAAATTATGGAAATTATATGGATAGTAAATAATTTAAGAAAATATAATATACTTATGTCAAGAAATTCGCCAAAAAATATAATTTCAAAAAATGTTAACACGTTTCAAATTAATTTACTCCAATACAGTATTAATATTTTCAAAAATAAACTGCTTGACTTAAATAAACGTATCGATTAGGAAAATTCGTCTGAAAATTAAATTTACAAATCAGCTATTTTGAATTCTTCTAAAAATAAAAACAAAAATTGTATACTCTTACTTGGTCTGTATAAACTTTAAATATATATAAAAGAAATTTTTAAATGTTGATTGGAAAAAATCGTTTTTTTTTTCACTCGTCAGGTGTTTCTGTTCCACCCTGTATGTACCAGCTAATAATCACAAAGCATGCAACTCTAGATAAACAAACTCGCGATCGTTTAACCCAAATCGGATACCATACACGTAGTCAAAACACCCCCCCGAGTGCGCATGATCCGCTGCACCGTGAAATAAATGCTACGTGTTATCGACGACGGTAATAATATGCAATAAATAATAATACGTTTCGAGTACACACACTGAAGTTGGACCGCGGCGTTTTGCGATCGCGTTAGATTTTAATTGGACCGCATACCCGGTTGTGGACGAGCGGTATATAATATTCGGCGTGAACAATATAATATATTATTATTGTTTAGTTCGGTGCACATATCGTAGTCGCGTATAAATGTATAATTTATAATATTCTATCGTAGTGCCTATATGGCGCCCACCGCCGCTGGCGAGTCGTGTAGTCTATCGACGATCGACGGTAGTATATTAAATTTATTAATAATATAATATAATATTTACAATCGATAGTAATAATTGCAATCGTAATAACAATATTCGACTGGTGTACGCGGTCTGTGCAGGGTTTAGAGGGGCGGCTTGAGCAATGGACCTTGGCGGCGGGGGAGGCGGCTCGTGTGTACATTGGCGTTTATGAGAATAACTCGATATCATTACTATTATTATCATCATAACTATTATTTGCACAAGTCGAACAATATATAATTATATCGATTACGGTTGTGTTTCAGATTGTAATTACCTATTGAGCTGTGTCCGGGACGACACCCTGCGGCTGGTTGATCTCAGGACGAACAAAATAATCAACACATTCGAGCAAGTCATATTTATTTAATTTTCAGTTCTCCTCACTGCTGTAGTTATTATTATTATTATTGTTGTCTTTGTTATTATTATTATTATTATTATTATCATCATTATTATTAACTCGAATCCATTTGCCGAGGAGGAGATCGGAAAGCTAAATTATACGGTAGTCACGCGAATAAAAATAACTATCGTAACGAGATAAAACCGTTTTTACCACTATATATATATAAAATATATAATATGTATAGGTATAGTTACTATGCGTAGCATATATACATTTGCTGGAGCAGTCAAAGTTGTTGTATATATATATATATATAGGTATGTACGTAAGTACACTCCTACAGATAAGGTTTATTATTATTTTTATATAAATATATATATATACATTTTTTTTAGCACGCTCTCGGTAACGTTTAGTTAGATCTTTTTGTGTTTCAAAACTTTATTCCCTACACCGTTTGCACAATGGTTGGTTGGTTGGCTTCGCGCCTCACAGATTCGAGTACAATTTCATTCCCCCTTTGTTGCAATTTTTTTCACTTTCTGTTAACTTTCCGCGATATAATTCAGACGTTTTTAATTTATTTCACGTTCGCCTTTTTTTTTTTATTTTTTAAAAAGTTTTTCCAATCTCTTAGGTTTAAACCATCATGAGTATTGAACAAATAGCCAATGCGAGTAGTAAAATTAAATTCAAAAGCTTTCTATTTAATTAAGGGGGTGGGGGCGGGAATAAAGTAACTCAAAGGGACCCGAGGTTTTCGTTTTAAAAATTGTCTTTTGTTATTTTCGTGGAATTTTTCTTTTTGTGAATAATAAAACAAATATAAAACAAAAAGAGTACAAGTACGAAATAGATGGATATATGACGCTGGCACCTGCCATATATTTTTGCACACATGAGTACTAGTATAGACGCAGCAAAATGTCTATACAAGTTTATGTTCCGTTATTAAAATAATAGTTATTCTTTTAAACGTCAACTGCATTATATGTTTAACGAGCACATGATAATATTCTTACAATAAGCTCATGATTTTATATGGACGTTTACCAAAAAGCAAAAACCGTTACGCGTGTAAGACTGTATATAGACATAAAATAAAATCATGTGAAATTACTGGACGTGCGGTTAAAATTATTATTTAATTTCAATCCATTTACTTATCCTGCCTATTATAATATACCGAACTCGGTTATATTATAATTTATTTTACCAGTCTTCCCGAAAATTAATTCTTTAAACAAATACTGCGGGAGGTTATTTATTTTTTAAATTGTGGTTTCACAATCATATGCGGAACAAGTTGAACGATTTAAACGGACATTTGCATTTTTATGGTTATTGATTTCAATTAAATGTATATATATATATTATACATGATATTCATTACAGGCAGGTACTTGTCTTTATAGGTGTACCTATATACCTGTTATTATTGTCCATTACTTTTATAGTTATAGTCTTTTTTGGACGATTCGAATTTAAAACGCAAAATAATAATACATCTAAATTCATATTCAACAATAAATTACGTCGATGACGTATACGGTTTCAATAGTATAATATTGTAATCGAGAGATAATAATTTAACACCTTTTATCACCAGTTTTGGAAATTGCTGTTCGATCGTAAAACTATATTATTGTTATAATCACATTATCCCACACACGTCATAGACCACCTAAGACTCAGACGGTAAAACTGGAGGTATACCAATTTTATGACTAAACGATTGTTAATATATTTCAATCAACTTAGTATGTACTGTTCACAATTTTCATATTAAATGAATGTGCTTATGTATATTATCGTGTATGATGGTTGTTTAAAAGATTTTCAGTTCGTTTCTTATTTCCCGACTTTCTGTTTTGCGTTACGTTATCGTCTACATTTGATACTTTAAAAAAATTATAATAGTACATATAAGTATATTAAGTGTAATCTATTATGTAGTTCTATATAAGCCATATAAATACATTCGAGAAATTTGTAAACGGTCATTAGACATAACTAGACATATTGTGTTACACTAATAAATAATTCCGTTAATAACGTAATATGTGTATTCTTACGTTGTTGTTTTTCACGGTGTGTCTATTCAGGGCTGATGGATTCAAAGTGGGTTGTGATTGGACGAGAGCTGTGTTCAATTTGGAATACGATCACGTGGCTGTGGGATCCTCCGAAGGATCTGTGTTCATATGGGCTGTCGCGAATCCTGAAAAACCACTTGTAGTATTGAAGAACGAACACAGGTACATTAATATTTACATATTATTATATTACGCGTTATACCTATAGAGAAACCTCCGAATTCCGGATACCTATTAAACACATTAATATTTGAAAAGTTATGAAATAATAAAAATTGTTCTTATCATCACACAGCGCCCCGGTGACGGCCGTGTCTTGGCATCAGTTCACCAACAACGTGGCCAGCGTGGACCGATCCAGGAGAGCAGTGGTCTGGGCAGACGTCTGACACACGCCGGTGGTTTGTTTTTTCTTATTACTGTTCACAGTCTACTGCTGCAACGTATCGCGTGTATTTTCCTTATTTTTTTTTTTTTTTTAAATATATTTACCATTTAAACAAATTAAAGAGAAAATCAAATTGATATATGTATATTTTTTATTCTATGCATACATATTATAATTATTATTATTGTCGTTCGTGTGCTTGTGTGTACAATATCTATATATATATATATATATATATATGTGTGTGTGTGTATATTATATATAGATATTATTATTTTTAGACTCATTCGATGATGATGTGAGATTATTTTATATGTTTCATATATTGTATGTGTTTTGAATAATAAAATGTTCCAATTCACGTGGTTCTTCTTGGCATATCGTCCAGATTTTCTCAACCATACACTATTAACACGCCACTTCAGAACGATATTATTTCGAACATTTCTACATCGATTTGTTGGAATATTCAAATCCAGAAAACAGTGCATGTACCTATACGTTGCATATTATCGTAAAACAAGAAAAAGTAAAAATGTTAAAAGTGTAATAATTATTAAACTCTTTGGAGTGGGTACCTATACCTACTTTAATACATTGTCATCTAATCTAAACATGAATAGACAGTAGTTTATGGTCACGTAACACTTATATTTTTAAGCTTCTGATTAGTTTTACTCGGTGTCCACAGTAGCATTGGTAAGATTAAGAAAAACCATATTCCTATAGAAATTGTATTTAAAGTATAATTACTAATTAATTAGACTTCAATAGTTATGAATTACTAACTTATTAAACTTTATATTTGTATTTTTAATGAAATATTAAAAATATACCTGAATAAATAAATATAATCTTGTGGTACAGAAAAACATAATTCAATATTCTGCATTTATTTATATTTCAATTTCTGAGTTTTTAAAATTTTTTTAATATTTTTTTAAATTACCTATCTATAATATAATTTCATCTCATCTAGTAAGTCATATATTTTTTCCCCAAATTGCAGGGAAAATTTTACATCAACGACATGCTTTTAATCTAAAAATAATAATACCGTCTCACATTGATGTCGATTTTATAGTTACTACTTTTCTAGACACATTATTGAATATCAAAGTAGAAGAGTATTTAGACGTTGACGCCGCCACTAGGCCATCTTGATTTTTATTTATTACGTTGTCTGGATAAGTTTAAAAAAATTACTATTGTCCGATTAATAAAATCATCAAGTATGTTAAAAAAAAAATCATAATTTGATTTGAGGGTTAAATGCTAAAAATAAAGGAAAATAAACTTACAATCAAAAATTAATATAAAATGTCAAACAAAGATTTCTTATTATCGATCATAAAACCCATGAAAAGCGTGTTGTATGTAATAATACGAGGACCACGTGATGAAACATAACTTCGAAAAACCATGCAAAGTGCATCGAAATATTAGCCTTAATAATAATAAATATCAGTATCTTCCTTCTAATGGACAAAAGTGAACACTGCTTATCTGAAACAGTAAAAACATTAATTTTGGTCGAATACGCCCTGTACGGTTTGTGCATCACAACTGCAGTAATATTATGAGATACAATATTATAGATGATCTACCGTAGGTTTTTCCTCTATTCGTACACGTCGCGCTATCTGTGAACCCTTACACGTGGAACCAGCTCGACGGTTCAACACAGATGGCGAACTGCGTTTGCAGTCTGGAGAAAATTTCCACCGTGTCCGCAAACATCTATTTTCCGATATGTTGTGAAAAGTAAATATAGTGCATAAGTACGTTTTCGAATATCGATACTATAAAAATATGTATACCACTCCGTTTCTAATTCGAACGCTATCGATGACACACGTTTTGAAACAGATGAGCGTTCGATCCGATCGAATTTGTCCACAATACGCTGAACATTACACCTAGTATACTGTAATCGCAATTTTTAATGGGACAGGTATTCTATTTACAAATTTACTATATCATTATAGTACGCAGGTATTTAAGAGCCGCGATCGTCCCGTGTTGTGTTTGATATATTGCTGTATTACTTCATAATATTATGTGTTATTGCAGTATACTTTTAGTAACATTGTATTATTCTCTCAGAATAGCTATTTGTATTTTATTTTATTTACAAACCGCGATGATCGAATTCGGTGCAATAATTAATACCGCGGCCGTCATACCATCATGCCGGGGTTACACCTATTATATTATGGACGATGTTGTAAAAAAAATAATTTTTAATTACATCAACCTTGCTGATACCCAAAAATCAATACTATGCCGTGCTAAATTATTGTTTTACGGTACTCATAATTTCTCACATAATATCTACAGCGTATAATTTATTATATCGCATAATTCTATGTTTTCGGAGTGCTATAAATAAGACAAACGCCGTACGATAATATTCCGCGACTCTTGACCGCGGACGTGCAGCTGAATTACCTATCCAGAACGCCGTGTTACGCCCAATACTGGAATTTCTCTCATTGGTGTCACTTAGGTTTGGTATAAATTCTTGGGTAATGTCTAACCACTGCAGATAATAATATTATTGGTGTGGTACGATTCACTACGACGACGGCGTGCGATAAAGGAATATTCCCGAAGTATTCAATCGTCTCCGTCCGTTATCCTCGGCTCTCAATATATTGCATTTATTATAATTTATTGAAATTGAATAATTCTATAATCCAGAATCGTTTGGACACACACGTGACCACCTCCAGGTTTACACGCTATAACACTGCGGTGATTTCCAGTCTGGTTACGTCGAATTTCTTGCGACCTGCAACTCCAATAATGTGTCCGACTGAGCCCATACCACAGTGGTAATATTACTACGATACGTATTATACTTATAATAATATTATTATACTATTGGGAAAACAAATTAACACTGGGAGCGCTGTCGACGCCTATCGTACTGATGGTTGGGCGGGTTCCCCCCTACATGCAGTCGGGGCTCGAGTCGGGTTTTCGCGGCATTTCGAATACATTTTGCTTTAAGTGAAGTGAAGTGAAGTGAATTTGAACGTATTTGATAATATTAGTAGAAATTATATTTACCAACATATACAGTTAGCTATAAAAGCGTATAAAGTTTTCATAGCAATATTAATTTATTATAAAAAGTAAAATAACCAACATAAAACTATATCTATACATCCCGAATTGGAAGGTACAAATTGTTTCCACCAGAGCGCGTTTTGTTAATTTGTTTCCCCAATTGTGAGATATTGCTCGTTGTTTCGGCCTCCACAACATTACACACGAAACATAATAACAACATTTCGGTGGACCGGACTGCACACAACAACAATAAAATTATAAATTCTCCTCGGCGGACATAGTTTTCCGCATAGTTGTCGACTCGGCCGACCACCCCCGAGCAGAAACCCCCCCTTTGCCCAACCGCGACTGGCGTATCAAATACGAATCGCTCACGTACTGTTTTCCCGGGCGAGTGATGGGTTTTATCGTTACGTGACCTATCCGACGATAGTGGCGCAGTATAATAAATATATATATATATATGTGGATGTGTGTATATTGCTATGCGGTTCGATAAACGTTTCGCGCTTACGGGAGCTGTTTTCGGCGCCCGTCGACTATATAGACCTCAATAATGTTATTATTCCGCCCCACGACATCGAATCATCGAGTTAAATCGGGCGGAGGGGAGGTGACATGGTTAATTGGGCCACCGAGATCGCGAATTATTATCATACTATTATCGATGGAAATGATGCTAGACGCGCGCGCGCGCAAAAACCTAATTATTGTATACTGGAAAACTGTTTTACATTTTACGATCATATTGCTAATAACATAGTAATATTACAACAGCACCAGTAATATTTAACTAATATTTACTCTAATTTTATGATAAAAATAAATTATTTATTTATTTAAAATACAAGTACAACATGTCGTAATGGTCATTAAAGACGTATAATTGCACATAAAGTATACAATTATGTAATTTCGATTTATGTACGATCATAATATATTATATTTGACAACTACTAACCTCAAGACGAGTAGTACTGTAGCGTTTCCAGTAAAGTCGTACTATTTTCCTTGTGCACTTTGTCGGCGCGAGTGTCGTCTACGATTTTTACTATCATATTTTGTATTAATATCACTTACTGCGCAGCGTTCGGCTTGGGACTTTGAGGTTATATAAGTGGGTACTCGCGGGTCTATATATTATTACATATAATGCGACTGTTGTATTGTCGCTGTTGCAGTATAACAGCGTCGGTATCTATTATGATCCCAAACGAATAAGCGAACAATACGTGTATCGGTTTTACGACCATACCGTGGTTGTTGTTTTTATGCGTTTCGATCTTTTTCCGGTCCAGATGACGCTCGGACATGTTTCGTTAATGGAGGCGACGGTGGCGAGATCGATGGTGTCCCGATGGAATCGCGTTAAAACAATGTAAAGTATATTATATATTATAATGTGAACCGTCGAAATTAATGTTTAAAAGTGCGGACGGGATATGCACCACTGCGGACCGGCTGTGTCGCACTATCCTCTCAGATTCTCTCACCTCGGCGCAAAACCAGTGTGTATTGTTTTATTATAAATTTTAAAACAGCTATAAATCACCGGAATTTATTCGAAAACGATTTCGAGTGCAGGTCGGGTTACTATACGTAGCTCTTGTTGTACACGTACAACGGCACTTCAAATATATATTATATTTTGTTATATTTATACGATTAAATTCTCTGACAATAATATTATCGGCTCGATGTTGTATGAAACATACCCGGAATTTCACGTTTTGACAAAAGATTTGACAGAATAATACATTGTTGTCGGCGAAATTAAAATAATTTCCATAAAGTTCAAACTATTATTGTCCAAATTCAAATTGTAACTACAATACATAAATAACCATTGACGCAAGCACTTTCGTGGAATTCATCCGTGTACCTTTTTTTTCGTAATTGTATGGACATTAATTAATACAAATA